TTTTAATTTAATGTCCAAGCGAAGTGTCATACTCAAACTGAACAGTTCAATAATTAAAACTTCACACCAAACAAAATTGCACACAAGCCAATTATCAATGATCTAAATTAACACCCAAGCCGGTCATCACCATTGTTATCAAAACATATCGATCTAGTGTGCCCACTGTTAACACAGGTAAGGTGCTGGCGTGCATTCAGCCGTGACTAATCCCCTCATTATCGTGTCTGGAAGTGTCAAACTTGTGTAAACAAAGGATTTACATACAGAAGGTAGAGGTGTGAACAAGACAATTATTATGAAAATCACTATGATAGGCGAAATTTTTGTATCAGATAAAACGAAAATCCCATATTTTCCTCTCAGAATATCAGATGAAAGTATTAATAAATATATAAGAAATGGTTTTGTGCTCTGATATTGTATCAGATTAGCCGAAATATTCGTTTAACCACTATCTGATTAAATGGAATCCACTGTATTATAATATCTTCAGTCTTAACTGGCTAAATATTATCAAACTTTGTAAGTTGATGCATTTTGGGTCTTATGATACTAATAGAGTTTGAGGCTTCTAATAGAAGTGATAGATTGTATAATTTATCAGAAGAGCGATTCAAGGCCCTTGGGCCTCTTGTAGAGTTATATCAAATTTTGGATATACGAAAGTTCACTTTTATTTCACTCGACATATTGGATGTGTACTTTTCGGTTCTTGGTTTAAGCAGGATTGATGATGATGATGATGATGCAAGTTGTTAGGCATTATCAGTTCATGGAATGGAAACACTCCCGGTGATTATAAAGAGTAATAAGTATACCTTGTACAATGTACGTTTTATATAATTATACCCCCGCTCCGAAGGAGAGGGGGGTATACTGTTTTACCCTTGTGTGTCTGTCTATCTCCCTGTCCGTGTGTCCGTCCGAAACAAATTTTCGTCGCAGTTTTCTCAGCAACTACTCATCGTAGATGCTTGAAATTTTAACACAATCTTCTCTGAGGCATGCCATATGGTGGGATACATTTTTGCTCAAATCCGATGTCAACTTCCTGTTTGTCTGTGCGTCTGTCCATTTCATACATGACAAATTTTCGTCGCAGTTTTCTCAGCAACTACTCATCATAGATGCTTGAATTTTTAACACAATCTTCACTGAGGCATGCCATATAGTGGGATACATTTTTGTTCAGATCCGATATCAACTTCCTGTTTGTCTGTGCGTCTGTCCGTTTCATACATAACAAATTTTCGTCGCAGTTTTCTTAGCAACTACTCATCGTAGATGCTCGAAATTTTAAACAATCTTCTCTGAGGCATGCCATTTGGTGGGATACATTTTTGTTTAGATCCAATGTCAACTTACTGTTTGTCTGTGTGTCTGTCCGTTTCATATAACAAATTTTTGTCGCAGTTTTCTTAGCAACTACTCATAGGAGATGCTTGAAATTTTAAAACAATCTTCTCTGAGGCATGCCATATTGTGAGATACATTTTTGTTTAGATCCGATATCAACTTCCTGTTTGTCTGTGCGTCTGTGTGTTTCATACATAACAAATCTTCGTCGCAGTTTTCTCATTAGCTACATGTATTCATAGCAGATGCTTGAAATTTTATTACACTCTGTGTTGAGGCATATGCCATATGGTGGGATTAATTTTGATATGAATCTGATGTCAATTTCATATTTTGCTGTGCATCTGCTTGTAATTGAACTTGTGTATATTAACATGATATTGCTTATTTACATCAGAGCGGGGGTATTACTAGTGAGCATTGGCTCACAGATTTCTTGTTAAGTTTCACAGTTAATTTTCTCGTAGATTGGAAATTGTAATTAACAAAAGCAATGATATATAAAATACTGCAACATGCCGCACTGGTAGTAGGCCAAGTTAGTTGAAGAACTTGGCCATCCCTAGACAGGCTGCACTGGTAGTTGGTCAAGATAGTTGACGGACTTGGCCATCCCTTGATTAAGTTGCACCGGTAGTTGGTCAAGTTAGTTGGTGGACTTGACCATCCCCTGACAGGCCGCACTGGTAGCAAGCCGAGCTAGTTGACGGACTTGGCCATCCCATGACAGGTCGCACTGGTAGTAGGTCAAGTTAGTTGACGGACTTGACCATCCCTTGAAAAGCCGCACTGATAGTAAGCCAATCTAGTTGATGACTTGGTCGTTTGTTGACAGGCCGCACTGGTAATAGGCCAAGTTAGTTGAAGGACTTGACAGGCAGCACTGGTAGTCAGCAGAGCTAGTTGATGGACTTGGCCATCCCTTGACAGGCCACACTGGTAGTCAGCCAAGCTGGCCAAGGGACTTGGCTGGTGGTCTGCGCCCCTCATTTAGGGACTGAGCTGGTCAGACGTCTTGGCTGGTAGGCAGTGTGACTGGCAGTCGGCTAAGTTTTCGTTGAAATATGCTTGCAATTTCAACCTTCAAATCATTTTTCTTCAATTCTGCAAAAAATTGTTAAGGTTCAGAATTTAATATTTAGGTAGTTTATTTTCAGCACTCATCTGCATATCACATTGAATTCACTCTTTCATATTTAATTCAAATTCATTAATTCATCCATAACATGGAAAAAAAGACTAATTATAGATCTATACTTACAGGAATTAGCTTTACATTGATAGATTTATTAAAATTTAAATTTTGAAATGAAAGAAAAAAATATTTACTTTACCTTAAACATGTAATATTTTGAAGAATTTCACGTACTTCAGGTTTGGACAGATTCAGTGAGATGCTCATAAAAACATCATGTACCAGTATTCCGCTTTAATAAAAAAAAATCAGAAAATTAATCTTAAATTACTCATTTCATTGCATGAATTAACATTGCAGCTAGATCATGTTATGACCATGCTGATGTATATAAGGCTTCACAATATTTTAACAGTTCAGGGAATCTGTAAACAATTGTGGGAATAAATATGACAAAGAACAACATATTTTATTAAGAGGCAGTCCACCGAAATACCAGGCAGTATTGTATTGATAGGCGGCACATCGAATGTGACGAATATTTGATATTTTATTGAAAACATTATCAATGTAGTCCAAATGGAATAATGTAATCAAAGATTTGTTTTAAAATTGCTTATTTAGTAAAATATCCTTTTCTTTTGTGTTCTTGAGTTTCCCTATATAAACCATTGAATTTAGGTCAGAAACAAAGAACTGTAATTTCCAATACATTTTTAACAGGACTATAATTCATGCTGAACTAAATCTAGAAATATTTCATCTTTCTGTTTCAAAAATAAAATCGGTGGGAAAAACACTTTTGACTTAGTTTTCTGGCAAAGTTTATAGATGTTTTTATGAAATTTTGCAATGCAAGAGTTATCTCCCGTGGCATCGGTAAATCTGCAACACACCTTACTATCGGAATCCTAGTGCAATATTTAGAATCGTTACACTAAAGAAAATTATTAAAACAAAAAATAACTACTTTGTTTTTAGCTCCCCCGAGCCGAAGGCTCAAGTGAGCTTTTCTGATCACATTTTGTCTGGCGTCCGTCTTTCTGTCTGTCTGTCCGTCTGTAAACTTTTCACATTTTCGACTTCTTCTAAAAAACCACTGGGCCAATTTTGACCAGACTTGATACAAAGCATCCTTGGGTGAAGGGAAATTTAAATTGCTAAAATAAAGGGCCAAGTCCCCTCACAAGGGGAGATAATCAAGAAAAGACAAAAATAGGAAGGGGTCATTAAAAAATCTTCTTCTAAAGAACCACTGGGCCAGAAAAGCTGAAACTTATGTGGAAGCATCCTAGGGTAGTGTAGATTCTAAATTGTAAAAATCATGACCCCCGGGGGAAGGTCGGGGCCACAATGGGGAATCAAAGTTTTACATAGAAGTATATAGGAAAAATCTTTGAAAATTGTCTTCTCAAGAACCACTGGGCCAGAAAAGCTGAAACCTATGTGGAAGCATCCTTGGGGTAGTGTAGATTCTAAATTGTTAAAATCATGACCCCCGGGGGAAGGGCGGGGCCACAATTGGTAATCAAAATTTTACATAGAAATATATAGTCTTATAAAATCTTTGAAAATCTTCTTCTCAAGAACCACTGGGCCAGAAAAGCTGAAAATTATGTGCACATGGAAGGATTCCTGGGTAGTGTAGATTTCAAAATGTCTAAATTATGATCAGTGTGGTAGGGTGGGGATGCATTATTCATTACAAGGGGGAAATCTGGTAAAGAACAGAATGGTCAAAGCTTCTCAGGTGAGCTATGTGGCCCATGGGCCTCTTGCTAAATTTTAAAACCACTGGATTCTACTGACAGTGAAGAAACACTTGGGAAAAGCTAAAAACTTGCTAAAATACAATTAGATACCTCGGACCTGCTCTAAACATGTTACGACAATGACTAATTGTTCCTAACATCGAACCCTAGCGGCAGTTGAAAGGCCTATATATAGTCTTGGAGATAGTGATAAATGGGGGACAGATTAGAACTTAATTTATGAATTGTTACTAAATATTAGACTAATTATTTCATTTTTCCTGATCATCCTATTTCTCTTGTTTTTAGCTCACCTGAGCCGAAGGCTCAAGTGAGCTTTTTTGATCACATTTTGTCCGTAGTATGTCCATCCATCTGTCCGGTCGTCCATCCGTCCCTCTGTAAACTTTTCACATTTTCAACTTCACAAGATCCACTGGACCAATTTTAACCAAATTTAGTACAAAGCATCCTTGGGGAATGGGGAGTTTAAATTGTTAAAATAAAGGGCCAGGTCCCTTTCCAAGGGGAGATAATCAAGAAAAGACAAAAATAGGGTGGGATCATTAAAAAATCTTCTTCTCAAGAACCACTGGGCCAGGAAAGCTGAAACTTATGTGGAAGCATCCTGGGGTAGTGTAGATTCTAAATTGTTCAAATTATGAGCCCCTAGGGTAGGACGGGGCCACAATAGGGTCCGCCAACGGCTTATCTCCCCCTTGCGCTGCTAGAGGTGCTGGTGTATTATGAGGTATTCGAGATAAACATGGCGTACGCTTCGTACACAGTGCCGAAACTGAAAAAAGAATTAATATTACGCGGCGCTGTAACGACGGGAAGGAAAACCGATCTCATAGAAAGGTAAGAAAACATTAATTCTGTTACATGCAAACCTTATTCATTGAAGTAATCCTTATATAAGTTGTATTATAACGGTATTCAGAGTCATGTGGTGCTATGTAGTGAAATGAAAACAATGTTGAACATGCATTCAAAACATAAAACATAGGCCTGTACTTCACGCAGGTTGGAAGCATACGAACGGAATTTCAACTTTAGCGGTCCCGTCATAGAACTGCCAGCGGAAAGGGATGTAGAATGGCCAACTACTGGTTATAAACAAATGACATCGACCATCATGACCTTTTGCCACACATAACAGAAGCCCATATCGAAGGTAATATTACTATGAATTTGGATATCAAGGGAGACTTGCTTAGGCAGTTAAGTTTGTATTTGAAATGTGTATTTGTTTTATGTCACATATGAAATGTAACAGTCTTGAAAATTTTATATCAGAAATAAATATGTCAGCATGCAGGAGTAAAATTCATATTTTCTTTTGGAAATTTTAGGATATTTTCAATATAGACAAGCAGTCGACAGACAAATGATGGGCAATACAAAGGATACTGTGAAAGGAAAATTACTCCTAGAGTCAGAGAGAGTTGAAGCACTGAGCATTAACTGTCAAGATGAAGACTTTTTCCTTACAGGATTTGTGAGAGCTGCAATGAAGAAAAAGGTAGTTTTTTATTTAATAAATGAACAATAAATTAAAAAAAGAAATCAATGTGTATTTATAGTGTGAATGTAGAGCCAGTCAAAATTAGTTCTTATGTGGTTGAAAATATATGGCTATATTTAACAGGTGTCTTACAATTATCATGTAAGAATTGACAGAAAAACGGGTGAAATTAAAAATTCAGACTGTGAATGCCCTGCTGGGAAGGGCCCCAATGGAACCTATAAACATGTAGCTGGTGTTGTTTTGCTCTTGGTGAAATTTCGGGAAAGACATATACGAGGGTTGTTCGAAAATTATTGAGACATTGTGTATATTTTGCTTTCTAATGAACGTCTTTCACTGAAAATTGGCATATACGTTTGACATACACCAAAAATTAATAAGAGCAAGAAATATTTTACAAATATTCAATATTTTTTCTACAATGGTATATAAATGTGTCAATAGTAGGGGTACCCGGAGCAGTCGCGGAATCAGATGTTGGAAATATGTAATCCCAAAATTCTAACTCTTCGTGGATCCATAATGAGAGCGAAAATAATTCAGTTTAAGTGTATAATTTTTCAGCTAAGGTTCAAATTCATGTTGTGCAACTTTGATAGAATTTTGATCAGAAATACGGAGATCATTAAAAAATTGAGCGCGGTAGAGAAATCTGCTAACAACGAAAAAATGGATCTTGACGTCAAGAGCGGAGCAGCCAGCATACCTAAAATTTTGTGTTGCACAATGTAGAACTCTTTTCAAGACTGAACGACCTGCTAAAACAATAACAACGAGAAAAAAATGATGTGTTAGGGTTTGTTATTTCATTGGTATACATTTTTTAACAATTAATTTAACTAGAGTAAAATTAAAAGATCTGGACGACCATGAGTTATTACGTACAGTATTGATATCGTTACGTTATTTAACCCGCATTGCATAAATTGGCACTGCATGAAGTCATCCTTTCCCATAAATGTAAATTTTTGACTGGGGTAGGAACAGCATATATTTTTAAAGAATAGTTTAAAAAAAGAGAATGTTTGATTTTTGTAATGTTATATATGTAATAAGTAACAAAGAAGGAAGAGTATTAAACGCTTCCCGATCATTTCACATGCGAAACAATCTACGGCTTACGTAACATTAAATTACGTAGCGAGGCTGCTCCGGGTCGATAGACATATGTACATTTATTACTTAACAGAAACTTGTGTTTTAGTCGTTCTTTATAAGATGTTGATGAATTTTCATGAAATTATCTCCGTCCTTTATGGAGTAAATGTAATTGTCTCAATAATTTCCGAACAGCCCTCGTAATAGCTATTCCTACGGGATGTACAGAAAATCTTCAGACTTTTCATAAGCCAAAAAACTCTTTTAAAGTTGAACTAACTGTGTTAAAAAAATGTTTCTTTGTTTAATTTGACAATATGAATGAAAAATATTTGAGGTTTTTAGTTTTTTACACAAGTGTCAGGGATATAAAAAGATTTTCAATATAATGTTTGGATGATGATGATGATGATACCATTTAAACATATATATTTTTAAGTTGCATGATCTTCAGACGAATTCACAAATTTACAGTTTGTTGAGTTGTTTTTGAACGTTTGAAGGATTATTTCGCATGCATGCAAAATATATATTTTTGTGTTCAATATTTAACTTTGTTGATTAATTCATGTGATCCAAAATTTCCAAGCAATATAGATTATTAGTAAACCATGAAAATAAAATCAATAACAAGTTTTATATGAATGCATTTATGCAAATATTAAATTAAACAAGTACTTATATTCAGTATATGACTTTGTAAAGAAAAACACTACAGGAATATATACTTGATAAACTAAAATAGAAATAAAATGCAATTCTCTTGTGTCATTTTCTTTAAAAAAAAAATAACATCCAACTTATTTTAAACCTTTGAATTTTACAGGCTCCCCCATAAAAGCTGAAGACATGCCTTGTCGCTATAATCCAGATCTTAGTGACCCTAGGCCTCAGAAATACAGAGGAATAGCTGGATACAATGATTATGTGAGCAACATTGTAACTAACTACTGTGCTGTAACATCTGCAGATTTGGCTTTCAAGTACATAAAGCCCAAGGCATTTATCAACATTGCAGTACTAGACCATGATTACTTGGACCTGCCATTCACTGAATATTGGATAGATGCAGCTCAAAAGGTATAGTATATTAAATAAAATATTTTGATAAATAGCTGAAGAAATTGTTTTAGTGAATCTTGATGAATTTGAAGAAATTCTTTGGTATACTGTATAAAGAAATTTTAATTTTTGTACAGGTGTCAGATAGGGACATCACTCGCATTGAACACAGAACAAGGAAACGGAGCCTGTCGAAAGTTTGGCATCGTGAAAGAGAATGGCACTTGACAGCTTCCAGGTTTGGGGATATTTGCAAAGCTACCGATCGACGCAACAGACTGAAGCTGTGTTCTAGCATCTTAAAACCTCTTAAATTAAAAACACTCGCTGTCCTACATGGCCAACAATATGAAGCTGTGGCAAGACAAGTATTCCAAGACAAAACAGGTTTTAAAGTCAAGACTTGTGGCCTTTTTGTAGATTTAGAGAATAATTATTTGGCTGCTTCGCCAGATGGTATTATTGGAGAAAGTGCGATTATTGAAATCAAATGTCCATATAAAGGCTGAGATCGTAAGATTGCTGCAGATAAGTTTTTCCCATTCTTGCAAGAGGATGATGATGGTGTATTGCATTTGAAACAGAGTCATAATTATTACATGCAGGTGCAAAGGCAGCTTAATGTGTGTAAAAAAGAGAAGTGTTTCTTTGTTGTATACACATTTGTTGATATTTTTGTGGAAGAAATTAATGTTGAGAGAGATTACTGGTGTGGTTGCATGTTACCAAAGCTAGAGTTGTTTTATAAGATACACTACAGAAAATTTCTTGCTGAAAAATTGTAAATTGGTGTCATTATCAATCTGCAGTTGAAGCTATTGTTAATGAAAACATGTATGATGTACAGAAAATTTCATTTATTATTTATATAGATACCTGTAATGATACAATTTTCATATATAGAAAAGCCTTTTTCAACTCTAAAGATCAACAGTTCTGTTCAGCACAAAATTTTAATTGTTTATCACAGAATACATTGTTTAATACTGTTTTAATGGATAACTTTTTTTGTTATTGACATATTGTTTTATACCATAACAAAATGCAATTTTTCAGTATTCATTATGGAATTAAGATTCATTTGATTTGAGGGAAATGATTGTGAATTAGAAAACAGGTATAAAAGTGTCTAGATATTATGTAGATATATTCATTTGCTGTTTTAAGGCAAAAACTGTATCAGAACTGAAGTGAAAGTTAAAGAAGTAGTACATGTACCTGGTATGTGAAGATGTTAGCTTGAATAATGAAATTGTAAGTAAACTGAAAAGAATCATTTGTTTCATTAGTACAGCATGTAATAAATGATGTATCCACCATTATTTGGAATCTTAAATCTTTATTATGAATATTTGTCAACAATGCAAGGTCTAAAATTCAGTAATGAAAAACAAATGAAAATAATTCTGGAGCCTAAAATAGCTTTTCCCTGTGGAAGCTCTTTCTTGAGGATTTTAAAAGTCCTTGCCAGTCCAATGATCCTCTCCACATGAATACGCTTGGAGGTGATTCTTCTGTCTTTGGCGACATCTTGTGCCTCAAGCTGGCTTTTTCCTTTTAAAATTGTTGGTGTGTTTACTTGAATGTTACGAGAAGCAAACAAATCCTGGACCATGATGCCCCTGTCGGCCATTATACTGTCATGGTCTTGAAATTTGTCTTTTTCTAGTAACAAGTCAGACCGTTCAATGATTTGTCTATCACTTGCAGCACCACAGTAAGCATCTGAAATATAACTAACAGTGCCACATGGTGTGCAACCAATCATGACCTTCAGTGTATTTTTGTTCTTATAATTGGAAAATGTAGCACTCTGGGCATTTACATTCTGGGGCTTATTTATTGGTACCTCTGTGGCATCAAGTATTACTCTAGTTTTGTGAAAATTCGCAAAGAAGTCATCGGGCATATATTCATCTATTACTGATCTAGAGGGCCAAATGTTAAGCTCTTTAAGTGGAAAGTACATAAAGTTGATCCATGTAACAATGATATTTGAAACAGTACTTTCACTAACTTGAAACAAATAACTCAGCTCAATGTCTTCTTTTGCTTGTCTCAGTTTCATCATAGCTAAAAACAACTGGTCTTGTGGGGAAAGTAAGTTGCTCTTAAGGTTCAAATCATGTGCTGCGGGACCAAGAACTTGAAAAAACATCATGAAATGGTCATAATTCTCAAAACCTGTGTAATATTTCACCATTTTATCATTACTCTGCAATTTTTCAATAGATAACCTGTTGTTTTTCCCAATGTCACATTGAACTGATAGATCTTGCAGCTTTTTTTCATCACTTTTAGGCCTATAACATTCTGATTCACAATCTACACTAACTTCTTGTGCTGATTCCACCACCACTTCATTCACAACACATTCACTACTAGAAACATTTTCATTCACAACACATTCACCACTAGAAACATTTTCACTCTGATCTGTATCACACTTGACTCTTTTACTGTATCTTTGCTCTCTTGTGCTAGGTGACTCATTCTTTCACGCAAAAGGAAAGACAGAAGGAACAGCTTCGGGTTTCAGCCTCTTTCTCTCCCCTTAATAAAATAAAAGAAACTCGTCTGAAGCTTACTTTCAAATTTACGTTTTCTCTTTATTTAATCAGATCGGTATAAAAACAATACTGTCAAATGTTTTTTGGAAGTGGTAAATCGAGAACCGCCAGGGTATAAAAACAGTAGTGGTAGGTGAACGTTAGGCTATGACCAGCATGATGAACATCGCGTTGAGATAACCATTGATAACTATACCATCGTTTGCGAATGATCATTTTGAACTAAGAATTATTTCCAAACTTGAAAAACGTAATTATTAGATCAACAATTAGATTAAGATAACAGACTAACCAAGTAATGTTGACTGAATGTAATCAGCGGATGTGAAGTGATCGCCACACACCCAGTCGTGAGCAGCTGGCTCCCATAACTTTCGTGTTTTTACATCCAATCTTCGAATTGCGACTCGCCATTTTGATTTAAGATCAGGATTCGAAGGGAACAGATGCCCATCTATCTTATTTTTACACATAGGTACACAGCAATACACTGGCATATCGACGATTGAACACAAACGCGGTTTCTAACTTATAAAGTAAACAATATGGCGACGGATCTATACCTCATAGTACACAAGCGCCATCTGGGAGAGATAACTCTTCTTGGCGGACCTTATTGGAAATCCAAGTTTTACATAGAAATATATAGGAAAAATCTTTTAAAAATCTTCTCAAGAACCAGTGGGCCAGAAAAGCTGAAACTTATGTAGAAGCATCCTGGGATAGTGTAGATTCTAAATCATAAAAATCATGACCCCCGGGGGTAGGGCGGGGCCACAATAGGA